TTTTTTGTAGAGAGGCTAAAAACCTTTATGAAGTATTCAGTTTTTCCACAGGTACAGTTAAGTATTTGAACAACTGTATATACATTCACTAGAACGTTGTAAATATATGTATGTTATAACCTCACAGTGATCACCTTTGAAGCCATGACATCAGACCCCTCTACTGAGACCTATCTTGTAAAATCTGATTCCAGAGGATACAGGATGATTCCACTTTAACCTATGCACTTCACAATCAACAGCTGGTTCCAGGCTATCTTTCAATAAAAATACATTTCCTTTCATGTACGGAGAGCTTTTAGCAAACATCACTGACTGAAAATAAATCTAGGCAGTATAAACTTGAAGCCCCATATTCCATAAAGGAATAACAGAAGAACTCTTTTTGTAATCTTAACATTATAGGTTTTTTTCATTTCCTAAGAAGCACGGAAATGCATCTGAAAGTTCCAAACTATGAGAATATTCCCAACTACCATTGTGAAATATAAAACACCCCCTAAAACTCATTTAAAAGAAGGAAAAAACGGCCACACAAAACAGCCAATTATCACAGGGATGAAATGTCCAAAAGAGGCAAAAACATAAGAAAGTAGATTTAGTGCACTGCCTGGTTGTGAGGGAGCATGGTGGGGAGGTTTGAACACTAGGGATTGGGGTGGGTAGGTAGGTGTGACTGTTATTAGGTACAGGTTTCTTTCAGGTGTGAATAAAACATTTTACATTATATTTTATTGATTGTGATATTATGGATGTCCCAATTTTTCAGCCTTTCTCCCTCTCCACCCAGTACTGTCCACTCCCTCAGGCAACCCCCATACCATTGCTTATGGCCATGGGTCATGTGAATAAGTTTTTGGCTACTCCATTTCCCATATTGTACTTTACATCCTTGTGGCTATTCTGTAACTATATATTTGTATTTCTTAATCCCCTCACCTTTTCACCCATTCCTCCCCTCACACCTCCCATCTGGCACCTATCAAAACGCTCTCCAAATCCATGATTCTGTCTCTGTTCTTGTTTTCTTAGTATGTTTTTTAAGATTCAACTGTTGATAGATATGTATTTACTGCCATTTTATTGTTCCTAGTTGTGATCTTCGTTTTCTTAAATAAGTCTCTTATTTAACATTTCATATAATAATGGTTTGGAAATGATGAACTCCTTTAGTTTTTTCTTGTCTGGGAAACTCTTTATCTGCCCTTTGATTCTAAATGGTATCTTTGCTGAGCAATCTTGGCTATAGGACCCTGCTGTTGACTTTGAATATTTCTTGACAATCCGTTCTAGCCTGCAAGTTTCTTTTCAGAAATCAGCTGACAGTCTTATGGGACCTCCCCTATGGATAACTAACTGCTTTTCTCTTGCTGATTTTAAAATTCTCTTATCTTTAACCTTTGAAATTTTAATTATGATGTGTCTTAGAGTGGGCCTTCCTGCATCCATTTTGTTTGGGACTCTCTGTGTTTCCGAAAATTGCAAGTCTATTTCCTTCACCACATTAGAAAATTTTTCTTTCATTATTTTTTCAAACAGATTTATAATTTATTTCTCTTTCTCTTCTCCTTCTCAAACCCCTATGATGCAGATGTTGGATCTGTTGAAGTTGTCCCAGAGGCTGTTTATACTGTCCTTATTTTTTGGATCCCTTTTTCTTCTTGTTCTGATTGGTTGATTTTTCTTCCTTATGTTCCAAATCATTGATGTGATCTCAGCTTTTCCCCCCTCTGCTGTTGTTTTCCTGTAAATTGTTCTTTATTTCAATAGTATATCTTTCATTTATGACTGGATCTTTTTTATGCTATTGAGATCCTAAGTTCCTTGAGAATCCTTCTGACCAATGTTTTGAACTCTGCATCTGACAGGTTGCTTATCTCCAATTTGTTTAGTTCTTTTTCTGGAGTTTTGATCTATTATTTCATTTGGATGTTTCTTTGTCTCATTTGGGAAGCATCCTGTTTGTTTGTACGTATTAGGTAAAGCTGCTTTGGCTCCATGACTTTGTAGTGTGGCCTAGTGTTGTCGGTGTCCTGTAGAGTCCAGTGGCACAGGCTACCCTACCGTTCAAGCTGGGTACTACAGGTTTGCCCTTCGTGTGGGCTGAGTACACACTCCTCTTGTAGTTGAGCCTTGGTTGCTGTAGGCAGATCAATGGGAGGGATTTACCCAGACCAATCAGACCACTGACCATCAACCTTCATCCTCTTTGTAGGATCAGCGGTGCAGGAGCAAGGTGGGGGTGTTCTGGGTGATCAGGCTTGAGATTTCCCAGGTGGTGCAGGCCAAGGCCAGCCCCCACCTTTATTTTGCCTGGAGCCACACTGACTGGGCTATAAAGCAATCTCAGATGGCTGCTACTTATGCTGGGTTTGGTGGTTCCCAGCCAAAGCCAAACTGTGGATCTAGACTAGCTGCTTCTAATGCTGGGCCTGAGGCCACTTAGCAAGAGATACAAGGGCTGAGGGCTTACTCAGGCTGGCTGTTGTTTGTTTAAGAGGATTTAGGAATTTTTGAAGCATGAGCCAAGACCAGCCACTCATATGGAAAAGTCACAGTTAACAGTTTGGGTGGGCCCACAACTTGGGTGGGACTGAGTCTCAGGGAATCTCCAGGGCCAAGCAAAATGTGTTAACCAGGTTAGCAGAGTCTCAGATATGGCACTTGTCTGCTGGCTTTGTGGATCTGTGTGGGGAGGGTTCAGAAAAGGGACCATGGCCTCTGCCCACATTTCTGTCTGGGAGAAAGCTATCTTCCCTGCTCCCATCTTGATGCCAGACATGTCAGCTCCTCCCTGTATGCCACTGGGGCCTTTCAAGCTATCCCAATGCTGGAGCTCTGAGGAAGGGAGTCTGAGTAAGTCCATGTGTGGCTCTTTAATAGGAACTGCTTGGGATTCCAGAAGTTTCTTCCACCAACTCAGTCCCCACTGGTTTCTGCAGTCAGAAGTTGTAGGGACTTATCCACCTGACACCGGAACCCTGTGCTGGGGGGCCTGGTGTGGAGCTGGGACTCCTTGCTCCCTGAATATCTCTCTTGAATTTCTATCTACCACACACCGATGTGAGACCAGCGTATTCCATGTCTCCTCACCTCCTACCAGTCTGGATAGATGTGTTTTCTTTAATTCCGCAGTTGTCAGACTTTCACTCAACTTGATTTCTATTGGTTCTAAGTGATGGTTGTTTTTTTTTTAATATTTTCATTGTAATTTTGATGTGGTTGTGTGAGGTGGCAAGCCACGTTCACTTATGCCGCCATCTTGACTGGAAGTCCTGGAAAATTTTCTTCAACTAGACAGTGACCATGGTGGCACAACTTCATGAATATACTAAATCACTGAGTAACACACTTTCAGAATTGCATTTTATTTTACGGGAATTATGTTTCAATTGTTGTAATGTTTTTTAAAAAGGAGATACAGAAATGAGAGCCCAAGCATCCTCCATGAAACACTTTTATTAGGAAAATGCTCCTCTCTGCACAGTGCATCCCATCTTGGAAATTCACAATGCATACAGGGTAGGGCAAAATATAGGTTTACGAATGGAAAATAATACAATAGTTAATAAATAACAAGAATAAACTCTTGTTTCCTGTACTCACAACTGTAAACCTACTTTTACCCCAACCTTTATACTAAAGTTTCTAAGAAGTCCTTAAAAAACCTGATTTTGTGTTTAATCCAGTTTCCCAAATGCACTTAACTAAAGAACATCTCAATATACCAGTACCCTCCCCACCAAGCCTATCAATACACATTTGGACCTAATGTTCCCTGGAAAACATTAGGAATATCTGCTCAGCATTTCAGAAATACAAAACAAAAAAAGATCAGAAGACTATTATTTATCATCTGTGGAACCTATATGTACCAGTGGAAATGTTTTTAATAAATCTATATTTACTATCTAAACCAATACATTTCTAAGAAGCACTTCATATATTTTGTAAGCCAGTTAATAACTAAAGTGCTTTCAATTTCCATGAATCTTTTGATAAACAGAAATTACAGCCCAATTATTTAAACAAATACATCTTCTGTAAAGAAGAAATCATTAGAAAATACACTTTTTCTTTACCCCATGCTTAGAATAGAGATTTTTTAAAGTTTTATTGGCTTTCTAGGGTCTGACTTGTATCAAAAGACATATCAGAAGTCCCAATAAATAAATCGATATCATAATACTTCCCACTAAAAATAAAAATGATTTTTTTAAAGGTAAAATTTTGTATGAAATCATCAACAAAGATATCAATTATCTGAAGACCTCTCTTCTCCTATACAGTCCAAAAGTGAATGAGTTCAGTTTCATGAAACAACTTGTATTCAAGATCATTAACATACTATTGTTCAATAAAAGCAAACTGCAGAATACAAACCACAGTACTCCAATTCACAAAAAGTTCAAAAGCAAGGGGTTTTTGAATTTTTGTTTCTAGGAATATATATATATTCCTAATATATTTTGTTTCTAGGAATATATATATATTCCTATATATATATATATGGAGCTCTATAAAAAGAATGTCATGATAAAAAGCAAATTTCAGAAAAATGGTTAACTCTAGGGAGAAAGGACCTTACATAGGAATGGTGGTGATTGAATACTGTCGGCACAAAGAACTTGCAAGTCTTTGAATTTATACTATAAAAAGATCCAAAACTTCACATTTTCTACCACTGAAATCATAATACCACATGTGACATTTGTCATCAACCTCAGCAAATTTATCTTCTAAATATTGCATTTAATTTTGAAAGTCACATAAAATACTTTATATAACTTGATAACAATTTTATACATAAAACCAGCATAGCTATACACTGAACTCATTAACATATGCATAGTATATTCATAACTGACCATTCTCATCCCCAAGAATAGTATAGATATAACAAAATAAACTCTATACAAAAACAAGTTTTTAAAATGTAAATAGTGTTGAGTAATTCTGACAAATAATTATTAGTATTACAAAAGATATCCTAATATTACCTGGGACAAGATTCAAAGGTAATCTTCTAGGTGAAATTGCTCTGGGGTGCTGCTTACTAATTTCTTCATAAATCTGAAGCCTCTCTTCTAAAGTGCCTGTTGTCAGTAAATATGTGTGAGATTCAAAGCATCAAAACTTGTCTATGATGGAACACTAATACACTTTAAAAATTATGTTACAGAAATTGCATTAACAACATTAAAGCTGCTCTCAATTTTTATAAGAATAACATTAAAAATTCTGTGGTGGTAAAATAATATAATCAGTATATTGCCATTTTAAACCCAATCTGGAAAAATTTGAAGTTTTTTTTTGTTACAATGGATTCTATATCCAATTCAATTCATATACACAAGATGCAAAGATTCAAGATACCTCGCACTGCATCTTATATTCCTTACTGCAGAACTTATGGAAAAGAAAATGTTTCTTTACAAGAGCAATTTTCAACTGATGTGCTGTGAGAATTTATAAAACATGCAATACGTGACTATGTAGTCAGGAGCACTGACGTCTTTTCCCTTAGATGATCAAATTAAAACATGACAACAGCTGTCCAGTGTGAATGAATCAAAATTATACCTTTTTATCTGTCAGACTGGCAAAAAATATATTTTTTAGTGAACAGCAGAATTTTAGTCATTAGTTTATGTGTGTCATATAACAAAAAATATTTTTCATTTATAAAGCAGTGAAAATACCTGCTTTATAATATATCTTACATAAACCCTCTAGCCCAATGAAGACTACACACATCCCCACAGAAGTTTATAACCCATTGATTAGGCTTAAAGAACCAACACCTTTAAGATCTTGAATGCAAATGTTTCATATGTAGAAGGATACATTAAATATCTAAGGTAGCTTTGACACTTAATATCTTCAATGAAACTCTATTATAAAGAACCCCATTACTACAGATCATGTTTAAAGGAGCAAAGTATCATTCCTCCCAAATACAATGTATAGAGTATACTTCTAACAGAAAGTTGTATCTTCCCTTCCCAAGACCAACCTAATTTTATAGAACTAATAAGAGGCTCTACATACAAACTATATAATACTCTGCAACAACGATTTCCAGATTATAATCTTGACCTGGTTTGCTATTCTAAAACAACATCCTGCATAATTTACAAAGAGACTACATGCATTATTTTACATAAACAATAAGCCAACTTACAGCAGAATTTCCAGAAAAGGCAAAAAACTTGTTTTTAAACTATAAGGTTTAAAGAGGATTTTAATTCAGACCATAGAAATACAATTATTTTAAGAATAACCTTTGGTGTTAGCAATCAAAGTATCTCCATAATAAACTATGAAGTGTTCAGTATCATGATTATAAACACTGCACTTGTCTCATTTTAAGACTCTTTCCTTCCCCCAATAATATGTTTTGGAGCTCCAATGTGGTTGCATTTTTAGAACTTGGATATGTGAAAAATAATTTTCACAATTGGAGACTGCATGGAATATTAAGGACCCTTCCACTAAAATTCAAATAAAGGTTTTTTTAAAAAGCAATCCTCATAGTCAGGCCTAATGTTAAAAAATGACAAGCTGTAAGTATTAACATAATTTTTTCACTACAACAGATATAACAAGTCTTATAAATGTAGTTAAATTAACATTAAGCGAAACCAAACCATTTCAATGCCCTATTTCAAGCCACAAGTTGGAGCTCCAGAACTTACCATGGGGGAGAAAAGGTCCTAAGGAACCTAAAAAAATAAAGTAATGTAATTAGTTTTGCAAACAATACATTTTAGATTAAGTATGGATCTTGACATAAGGATTATAATATATTCATTTCACTAAAGCATGTAAATAATCTATACTATTAACCACATGTACAGTAACTGGTGGTTTAAAGAAAAATCATAGTCTTCTTACATTTCCAACTTTCAGATATTATGATTTTAGTCCTTTAAAAAAAATTTGATGTAACCAAAAATTAAATTTTCATCATTTCCTTTAAAATTTTAAGTACTTTAAAAATTATAATATTAAATCCTAAATAAAAACTGAAAACTTGAATTAATTTATAACAGTGACTGGATACTACAAATAAACTCTTCTTATGGTTCACACTACCATAAATGACTAAGGGTAGCTACGTATTTAGCACACTTTTTAAATTTAAAAAGTTCTGCTGTTAGAACAGCCCTGAGCCATATATTTATCCATAAGTAATATGATTTTAGAAATAATAACTCCTAACAACATCTAATTATGAAAATATTAGGAAAAATACTGCTACTACATATGTCTGAAAAGGGTCAGGGTCATATAATTTTAAAATATGTAAAATATTTTCTGCTACACAAATTAACTTAATCTGACATTAAGAGAATAACTTTCATGCCAGTGCTGTATACTATATACTCTCAGTAAAATTTCTTTGGCCCAATTCTTATATTAAGAGATTGAGCCCTGGCTGATGTGGCTCAGTGGACTGAGTGCCGGCCTGTAAACCAAAAGGTCGCTGGTTCCATTCGTAGTCAGGGCCTATGCCTGTGTTGCGACCAGGTCCCCAGTGAGGGACGTGCAAGAGACAACCAATCAATGTTTCTCTCATACACTGGTGTTTCTCTCGCTCTTTCTCCTTTTCTATCCCTCTCTCTAAAAATAAATAAAATCTTAAAAAAAAAAGGTTGAGAATAACAGACCTCCTCTAATTCTTTAAAAACATTAATTATGACATTTCTCAGAAAGAGCATACTCATTTTCTTTCCCAACTCTCTAGTCTAAATAGGTAATATTATAATCAGTCAAGGAACGTGAAATTATCTGTACACATTTATCACCTAAGTATAAATATTTTAATTAATTTTCACTTTCGTGTTTAACCAGTAATTTTTCCTACACTAAAAACTGAATCTTAGGGCTAACCATATTTGTTCTCAAATATTATTACAACTTAAATTTTATTATACTTCAAACACTAAATGTAGGTAGAGGAGAAAAATCATTACATACTAAGCTGTAGAGCTTTTTCCAAGCCTTCATAATAACACCAATTTTCTGCATTCCGATCAATCAAGTTTTTGAATACTTCACTGGCTTCTTTTAATCTTCCCAATTTCAACAGCATTTCCCCTAAAATTAAATTTAAAGGCACACTCATTTAATTTAAACATTAAATATCTTTCTGATCCCAGAGACTGCACTAAACATTAGGATAATAGATGTTTATGAAAGACAGAACTGGATATGCCTTCCTCTGGGACATACTGCAGTTTATGTAACTAAACATAAATCGATTTACAGCTTGCCTTCAGAAATAGACTTTCATTTACACATTCTGCTATACTAAAATTCATTTTTGGTTCCCTCCAACATCCCAAATATAAACACAGAATATTAATTTATTAGAAAACTCCCCTGCCTGGTGTGGCTCCATAGATTGAGCACTGGCCTGCAGACCAAAAGGTCACTGGTTCAATTCCTAGTCAGTGCACATGCCTGGGTTGCAGGCCAGGTCCCTGGTTGGGGAAGCCTGAGAGGCAACCACACATTGATGTTTCTCTTCCTCTCTTTCTCCCTCACTTGCCCTCTCTCTAAAAATGAATAAATAAAATCTTTTTAAAAAAGAACTAAGTCAGTCAGTGGCTACACATTGACGAGTAAGATTTCAGTTAAGATGGCTGCATAGGCAGGCATGGCTCACCTCTTTGCACAACCACATCAAAACTACAACGAAAATATTGAACAACCATCACTCAGAACAATCAGAAATCTAGTTGAATAGAAGTCTGACAAGTATGGAGTTAAAGAAACCACATCCACCCAGACTTGTAGGAGGGGAAGAGATGTGTAACAGGCTGGTCCCTCATCCATGTGCAGTGGATGAAAATTCAGAAGGTATATCACAGGATCAAGGAGTCCCAGCCCAAACCAGGCCCCCAGCCCCGGGTTCCAGTGCCAGAAAGGTAACTGCCCACAACTTCTGGTGACAAAAACCAGCAGGGATTGAGTTGGTAGAAGAAACTTCTACAGCCCCAAACAGTTCCTCTTAAAGAAGCCACATGGAGAAGACTCCCTCGGACTCGCTCCCTCTGAGCTTCCATACTGGGGTAGCAGCTTGGAAAGCACCAGTGGCATACTAGGAGAAACTATCCCATGTGTCTAGCTAGCATCAAAGTGAATGCAGAGTCCTTTGTCCCTTTTCTAAACCCTCCCCCCCCCATACCCAGCAAGATAGTGCCATATCTGAGACTCCCATCAACCTGGCCAGCACTCAGAACTGTTTAACCTGCCTTGGACATCCCCACAGACTCTGCCTCACCCAACTTATGGGCCCACCCAAACTGCTTTTCCTTATGAATGGCTGATCTTGGCTAAAGCTTCGCAACTTCCTAAATTCTCACAATCAAGCAACAGCTAGCTTCAGTGAGCCACAGGCCTGGCATTCGCAACATCCATCCTAGATTCACACCTTGGCTTTGTGTGGGAATCTCCAAGCCCAGCAAAATTAGCAGCCATCTCAGATTGCTTTATAGCTCAGGCAGGATGGCCCCAGGCAAAACACAGGTGGCAGCTGACCTTTGCTTGCACCACTGGGGAAACCACACAGCCAGCGCACCCAGTGTGCAGTTACAGACCATGTCAGAGCACCACCACCATGACTCTATACAGCTGAACCTCCATAGAGGGCAGAGACTGGTGGTCATAGCCAGTGGTCATAGCCAGACCTTGCAGGTAACCATTGATCTGCCAACAGCAATCAAGAGGAGGGTGTACTCAGACCACACGAAGGGCAAGCCTCAAGTATCCAGCTTGGGTGATAGGGGAAGCTGTGCCACTGGACCCTACAGGACACCTACCACATTAGGCCACATTACCAAGACATGAGGTCAAAGCAGCTTTACCTAACACACAGAAACAAACACAGGGAGGCTGCCAAAACGGTAAGACAAAGAAACATGGCCCAAATGAAAGAACAGATCAAAACTCCAGTAAAAAAGCTAAATGAAGTGGAAATAAGCAATCTTATCAGAGGCAGAGTTCAAGAAACTTGTTACAAGGGTGCTCAAAGAACTTAGTGAGGACCTCAACAGCATAAAAAAGATATAGTCAGAAACAAAGAATACACTATTGAAATAAAGAATGATTTATAAGAAAACAATAAAGTGGATAAAGCCAAGAATCAAATCAATGACTTGGAACACAAGAAAAAACAACCACTTGGAACATAAGAAAAAACAAACAATCAGAACTAGAAGAAAAAGGAATCCATTAAAATGAGGACAGTATAAGCAGCCTGTGGGACAACTTCAAGTGGTCCAACGTTCACATCATAGCGGTGTCAGAAAGAGAAGAGAAAGAGCAAGAAATTAGAAATCTGTTTGGAAAAATAATGAAAGAAAACTTCCCTAATTTGATGAAGAATAGACATGCAAGTCCAGGAAGCACAGAGAGTCCCAAACCAGATGGACACAAAGTGGCCCACTCTAAGACACAACACAATTAAAATACTGAAGATTAAAGACAGGGAATCTTAGAAGCAGCAAGACAAAAGCAGTTAGTTACCTACAGAGCAGTTCCCATAAGACTGTCAGCTGATTTCTCAAAAGAAACTTTGCAGGCTAGAAGGGATTGGCAAGAAACACTCAGTCATGAAAAGCAGGTACTTACAGCCAAGACTGCTCTACCCAGCAAAGCTATCATTTAGAATCAAAAAGCAGATAAAGTGCTTCCCAGATAAGAAAAAACTAAAGAAGTTCATCATTATCAAACCATTATTATTTTAAATGTTAAAGGAACTTATTTAACAAAAAGATCAAAACTATAAATATTATAATGCCTAAAATACATATTTATAAACAACTGAATCTAAAAAACAAATTAAACAAATATGAAGAACAGAGACAGAATCATGGATACACAGAGCCTTTTAATGCTTGACAGATGGGCAGGGGTTGTGAGTAATGAATGAAGAAGTGAGGGAATTAAGAAGTATAAATATGTAGTTACAGAATAGCCATGGGGATACAAAGTACAGTATAGCAAATGGAATAGCCAAAGAACTTATATGCACAACCCATGGATATAAACAATGGTGGCAGGCTACCTGAGGGAGTGGGGAGTGGTGGATGGAGGGCAGAAAAGGAAGAAAAAAATCAAGACAACCCTAATAGCATAATCAATAAAATATAATTAAAGAAAACAAGAGTAAAGTAGAGCAATTAAAAAGGGCTCATGAAAAGATATGAAGAAAACTTAAATGCATATTACTATGTGTAAGAAGTCAATCTCAAAGGGCTGCATGTTGCATAATTCTAAATACACTGACATTCTGAAAAAGGCACAACGATGGAGACAGTACAAAGATCAGTGGCTGCCAGGGTTGGGGGCAGGGCAAAACAAATAGGCAGAGCACACAGGATTTTTAGGGCAGTGAAAGCTAATACTCAGTATGATACCCTAGTGGTAGATGCATGTCATTATTCATTTGTCAAAACTGAGAAGGTGTACAACATCAAGAGCTAACGGCAATGTAAACTATAGGCTTCAGGTGGTAAAGATGTGTTTGTTCAGTGACTGCAATAAATGTACAACTCTGGTGGGAGATGCTGATAGTGGAGGACACGATGAATAAGTAGGAACATACAGTACATGAGAAATTTCTGAACCTTCAAATCGATTTTGCTGTAAAATTAAATCTATTATAAAAAAGTCTATTAAAAAAAATTTTTTAAAGGGCTCCGCCCTGGCTGGTATAGCTCAGTGGACTGAGCGCAGGCTGTGAACCAAAGGGTCGCTGCTCGATTCCCAGTCAGAGCATATGCCTAGGTTACAGGCCCAGTTCCCAATGGGGGCCATGTGAGAGGCAACCACACATTGATGTTTCTCTCCCTCTCTTTCTCCTTCTAGTCCCCTCTCTCTAAAAATAAAACAAAGAAATTTTTTTAAAAAGTAAGTGCTCTGAAGTCAGAAAGATGGGCAAGTCCTTAATATCTCTGAGCCTTAGTTTCCTCAGCTATTAAATGGAGATAGTTAATAGTACCCACATCAGAAGTGCTAAACTTTAAATTAAATAGAACAATTCAATTACCATACTCTGAAACACAGGAGGATAATAGATAAACAAATGTTAGCTATTATTTTTATTAAGCTTTAGAAGTCCTACAACTATACTAAATTTAGTTTTAAGCTAATTATCTCAGCTGGACATTCTATAATAGAGTATTGCTTATGGAATGGGTAATTGATGAACAAAACTTTAAGAAAAAAATGTGCTTGACCCTTTGTTGACGAACATTATTTAACAAAATATTAGAATCCTGCTTTCATAATTAGGCCATGATGAATCTTGCTTTCTTGATGATCCCAGTCATTTACTAGTCTCATTATATTTTACTATACACAGAGATACACAAGTATATATAGATGGATGGACAGACAGACAGGCAAATAGAAAGACAGATAGATAAATAGAAAGACTGACAGACAGAAAAATAGAAAGACTGACTAGCTCTAAAAGCAGTAAAACATTTTGCTTAAGAAAATTAAACCTGGCCCTGGCTGGTGTGGCACAGTGCTGGCCTGCAAAGCAAGGGGTCGCTGGTTCAGTTCTTAGTCAGGACACACACCTGGGTTCTGGGCCAGGTCCCCAGTAGAGGGCATGTGAGAGGCAACCACAGACTTATGTTTCTCTCCCTCTCTTTCTCCCTCCCTTCCTCTCTAAAAATAAATAAATAAAATCATTTTTTAAGAAGGAAAAAAAAAGATAATGGAGTCTAGAGTCAAAATTCCTGGCATCAAACCAGCACTATCCAGCTTACATAGCTGTGTGACTATGGACAAGTCACTTAATCTTTCTGTTCCTCAGTCCCCCAACTCTAAAGTGAATAAAAGAACACCATTATAAGGTTGTTATGAAGATTAAATTAATCAATAATGGCTTAATGATTAATGGTTTAGAATGATGCCTGATACATAGTAAGTCTTATTTAAGTGTTAGAATAAAGTACATGATTTTTGTTTTCTTTAACTGAGGCCATGAAAAAGAAAAAACAGGTCAACTAACCTTTAATTTCTTCCACCAAAAGTTTATCACATATATGTTTCTCATATGTTTCTATATGTTCCAAAGATTCCTGAAACAGATCTGCTTCTCGCATCACTTGATTCTGGTATAATATCAATTCACTGTACTCATAGTCTATTTTGTTAAGAGGAACCTAAAAAAAGAAAGGACCAAATTATCTTCTTTATATAATTACATAAAGCAGTTTCAGATCTTTAATTTCCTACTTTCTCAGGAAAGTAATTCACGCAAACTTAAAAAAGCAACACATGCACAAACAATTACAAATAGAACAGTGACTAACAGCAAAGATTAATACACTTTTTAAAATTTCATTTATTTAGAGAAATGAAGGGGAAGGGGGGGAGAAAGAGAGGGAGAGAAACATCAGTGAGTGGTTGCCTCTCACACACACCCCAAGTGGGGACCTGGCCCACAACCAAGACATGTGCCCTGACTGGGAATTGAACTAGTAACCCGTGGTTTCACCGGTCAGTGCTCAATCCACTAAGCCACACCTACCAGGGCTAATACATTCTTTAAAATGAATGAAGGGGTAAGACTTCAGTATATAGCAAAGCAAATAGGTCCTATGCCCCCAGAAAGTATAAAAATGATTAAAATCCTATGGAATCCATATTTAAAAAATCTATTAGAACTCATTGAAGAATTAGGCAAGGTGATAGAAAACAAACCAATATGTAATACAAAACCCATTACGTTTCTATACACTAGGAGCAAACAACCCAAAATTAAAATAATTTCATTCGCAATAGCATTAAAAAGAACAAAATATTTAGGAATAAATTTAAGAAACAAGATCTATATACTGAAGACTACAAAATATGCTGAGAAAAGTTACAGACCTAAATAAAAATGATGAGATAGTGCATCTATGTTTTTGGATCACAATACTCAATAATATTTTGGTGGCAATTCTCCCCAACTTGTTCTATAAATTCAATGCAATTCCCACCAAACTCTCAGCAAGCCTTTTTTTTTTAAAAGAAATTTATAAGCTAATCCTAAAATTCAGATGGAAATAAAAGAACCCTATGTGGCCAAAAGAATTTGAAAAAGAAGAACAACATAAAAGAACCTATGTTTCAAATTTCCAAGTTAACCATAGTTATAGTAATCAATACAGTGTGACACTGGCATAAGGATATACACATGGAACAGAACGCAAGGTCCAAAATTATGTTTTTATATTCTGGTCATTGATTTTCTACAAACATGCCAAGCCAATTCAATGGGGAAAGGATAATCTTCTCAACAAATAATGGTGGGACAATTAAATATCCATATGTAAAAAATGACCTTACACACACAATTCATACCATACACAAAAATTAATTCACAGTGGATCACACACCTAAACATGAACACTGAAACTATGAAAGAAATCTTAGAAGAACAGAATAAATTCTTTGTGACCATATGCATAAAAGAAAAAATTAGTAAACCAGACCTCATCAAAATGATAAAAGTTTTCTTCTTCAGAAGACACCACTAACATGAGAACTCAAGTTACAGACTGGGAGAAAATATCTGTAAATAATATATCTAATAAGAAACTTATATTACAAATATAAGGAACTCTTACAACTCAGTTGTAAGACTACTAACTCAGTTAAAAATGGCACAAGATTTGAATAGACATTTCACCAAAGAAGAAATATACATGGCTAATAACAACATAAAATGGTCAATATCATTATTTGTCAGGAAAATGCAGAGAAAACATTAAAATAGATACTATTACGCACACACTAAGATAGCTATCATCAAAAAATTAGACAATAAATAGCTTTAGCTGGTGTAGCTCAATGAATTGAGTGCAGCCTATGAACTGAAAGGTCATCAGTTCAATTACCAGTCAGGGCATGGGCTTAGGTTGCAAGCCAGGTCCCCATTTGGGGGCATATGAGAGGCAACTAATTGATGTATCTCTTGAACATTGATGTTTCACTCCCTCTTTCTCCCTTCCTTTCCTTCTCTCTAAAAATAAATAATATTTTTTATCAGACAATAACTGTTGTTGGGGATGGGTAGAACTGGAACCCTCATACATTGCTGGAGCCACTTAGGAAAACAACTAAGCAACTTATTAAAAGGTAAATATATAGTTACCAAAAAAACCCAAGAAATTTCATTCTTAGATATATACCAGAGAGAAATTAAAACATAAGTACACACAAAAATTTGTGCATGGATGCTCATAGCAGCATCATTCATAACAAACTAAAAATGATCCTTATGTCCACCAATTAAATAGACAAGCAAAGTGTGGTATATCTATAATGAAACAGTATTCAACATTAAAAAAGAATGAACTACTAATATATTATCTAATATGGATGGATCTCAAAAAGATTATAGGAAATAACAATCTAGGGACAAAAACGCTACCTTATGATTGACTGCCTTTATATTATTGCATATACATTATTTATACATATGGAGAACTACGTTATTCTGTAAGTCTTCTCTGAACTTGGCTCTGGGCCAGAGATAGAACAAAGGACTAACTATACAAACTCTTTTTATTAATTAATGATAAATAAAAAGAGAAATTCTATCTCTCTAGCAGGTAAAACTACTTTGGCTATCATTTTTAAAAAATACCTTGCTTTCAGAGTGAATGTCAAAGAAAATACTTTCATCGAGAAACTATAAAGAGGATGATTTTAGCAAAAATACTTCCGAAAATCATCTTTCCATAAAAGCAATAAAAAGCTGACAAAAAAACTTCTCAGAATCACCTTTTTCGGAACTCTGGAAATTAACCAAAGGCCTACAGCAACCTGGGGAGCACTTATTGAAGAAAAATGGCTGGATCTTGGTAAGACCAGTGAGCTCTCTAGTGTTTTAACTTGTCCTAGTTCTATCCCATGCTCTCCAGCTATTGATAAACAGTAGCTTTGAAAAATATGGCCCTGACTGGTGTGGCTCAGTGGATTGAGCGCCAGCCTGTAAACCAAAGGGTTGCTGGTTCAATTCCCAGTCAGGGCACCAAAAAAAATTTTTTTTTAACTTTGTATTCCCAGAGCAGCCACCAGAGAGAACAGAATAAAGCTGGAACTCTTTCAAAGCCTCCTTCACAACAAACTAATTAATGGACCCATCAGGTGGGGCCCTGCAAGACCCCACATTCAAGGCAAACTCAGAGTATGCCCACAGTAAAAAGCTTTAGGGGCAGAAGAGGGCCAAAGACTTTTGTCAAAAACAATTATACACAAGTGTTTACCTTTACAGTGTCTGAAGTGATGAATAACAGTCTGTGCGAACAACAGACTAACCAAAAATCTTACAGAAGCTAGGAAATATGATGTCCACAGAGGCTCTGAAAAGCCACACACACACAGAGGTATGTACACGATCAGGAAAGATTTCATGAAACCCTGAGTTCTCACCTCTTGCTGACCTCAACACAACAAACAAGAAGCAAAATCTGACTGAGTGCTAAAGGCATACCCCAACATACCCACAGAGAAAATTAACAAAATTACAAGCTGGTTCTTTGAAAAATTAACACAAAGGACAAACCTAGAATAACCAAGAAAAAGAAAAAAACTACTAAAATAAAAAATAAAAAAGAGGGGACATTACCACAGACCCTACAGAAATAAAAAAGGATTATAAAGAACTATTATGAAAAGTTATAAGCCAACAAATTAGAAAACTTACACAAAATGGACTAATTCCTAGAAAAAAAACACAAGCTACTGAAACTGATTCAAGAAGAAATAAAAAAAGTTGAATAGACCAATAACAAGTAAAGAATAAGTTAGTTATCAATGAACTTCCAATAAAAAAAAAGCCCAGGACCAAATGCCATCACAGGTAAATGCTACCAAATCTCAGAAGAATACCATGTTTCACAAACTTCCCCAAAACAGGAGGGAACACTTCCCAACTCATTCCATGAAGCCAGACACAGACAGCAAACAACAACAAAATGACTTTGACCAGCATGGACCAATGGGTTGGGCATTGTCCTGCAAACCAAAAGGCCACGAGTTTGATTCCCAGCCAGGGCACATGCAGGGGTTGCAGGCCAGGTCCCCAGTTGGGGGCATGTAAAAGTCAACCGATTGATGTATTTCCCACACACAGATATTTTTCTCCCACTCATTCTCCTCCCATTCCCCTTTCTAATGATAAATAAAATCTTTAAAAAAAGAAAAAACTATAGGCAATAGCTATTATCCTAATAACCCTTAACCTCACTAATAATCAAGGAAACACAAAAGAAAAACAGGATATACTTCTCCATATCCAGATTAGAAAAACTAAAAAAGCTGACAGGTGACAGCAAAGACATTGAGGAAATAACTAAAACCTTGCTGGCAGGCATATAAGTTAGTGTCAGCTACTTCAGAGTGATGACAATACTAAGGATAAAAACACACAGCCACAGCTCTGTAATTCTAGTTTTAGGTATATACTGAAGAGAAACTCACAAATATAACAGACAAGAATATTGATTACAGCCCTGTTTTTTAATATAGAGCCATGGACAAACTGACATTTCTATAACAAAAATCAACTAGCAATTAAAAATGGATAAACCAGCTAACCCTACATGTATCAACATAGACATATCTCAAGAAAAGCTGAATGGAAAACTGTATTTTCATAAACCTTTTTAAGTAAACAAAATAGTGACTTTCACGAACTTATGAACATAACGTAAATGCACCGTAATGATTTATACCGATTCCAGAATAGTGACTACCTCTAGGGAGGTATATAGGAGGACCTCAGCTATTTCTGTAAACTTATTCCTTTAAAAAATAATAAAATTTGGAATATGACAAAATGTTTACATCTATTTATCATGTTTTGTACTTTTCTATTTTACATATATATTAAAATGTACTTATTAATGTTCATATCAAATATAAAGCAACATATTTTAGAGAAACAATTCCCACAGTCACAAAACTACTTTTGTTTTTCTGCAGTCTTTTATCACTTAAATATTGCTGAAATTATAGTGTACAAAAATTTTTATATACATTTTGAATTAAGAATTGTTTTTCCCTCCAACCACAGTTTACATTTAATGCCATTTCACACCAGTTTCAAATGTACAGCAAAATGGCCATAAAGCCATGCAGTCTAGGGTATCCCCCCATCTTACCCTGCCACTGCCCCAAGCCTCCACCTGATCCCATACCAGTTATCTCTACATTACTGACCTTATTCTCCATGCAGCAATTTATGTCTCTGTGGCTGTTCTGCAACTACCAATTAGTAGTGCTTAATTCCTTTACCTTTTTCACCAGCCCCCAATACCACTCCCACCTTCCTATAGATGTCAGTCTGTTCTCTGTTATCTATGAATCTATCTTGTTTACTTTGTTCATTAGAGTCCGCATATAATGAAATCATATAGTATTTGTCTTTCTCTGACTGGCTTATTTCACTGAGCGTAATACCCTCTAGGTCCATCTATGTTGTTGCATAACATAAGATTTCCTTATTTTTAACGGCTAAGTAGTATTCCATTGTATAAATGTACCACTACTTTTTTATCTACACATTTACTGATGGGCACTTGAGTTGCCTCCAAATCTTGGCTATTGTAAATAACATTGCAATGAACATAAGGGTACATATATCCCTTGAATTAGTATTTTGGGTTTCTTTAGATACATTCCCAGAAATAGAACCTCTGGGTCATAAGGCAATTCCATTTTTAATTTTCTGAGGAACCTACACACTATTTTCCATAGTGGTTGCACCAAGAAATTACATTGTTTTAACTTGTCAAATTTTTTTCAAGTTTTTTTCCATAGGTCTCAGACTTTAATTTACATTTGGGGGTGGGAGTATAACAGTGCAGCTCAAGAGGGATTTGTAATAGGCTCTGGAACTCAGGGTGTCCAGTAAATATAAAAATGTAGGATATCCTTACCCCCACAAGTCTGAACTGGGAGATGGGACACATGGAGCAGGGCCATTGAGTTATTTCGCATATCAACAGCTGGCCAGCTTCATAGCCAATATGCAAAAATAGATATTTTATATATGTATAACAGCCAGGCAGCTTCACAGATCTGTTAGTAGCTGTGGCCAAGCTCTGAGCCAGGAGGATGGGAGTGACTCTGACCCATAAAGTAACTGGGAGGCAGTTGCTCCTGGTTACAGCACTTGTGTGAGAGCTTGGACATGGTTAGCTCCATGCCAGGGGGCCATGCTTGCCTGGACTAACTATGGCAGCCCAGAGAGGCTAGAAAAATACAGAAGCGTTAGCAGGTGTAGCCAATTGTGGGAGGAGTGAGAAATGGAGTTGCAGAGGAAGATTCCCACAGTGATTTAAACCCAGGCACAGCAGCCATGTGGGTGGGAACCTTGAAGTTTTGTGGGGGCTGACCATAAAATTTTGGGGGCGGCGTGGGGGCTACCTTTACCACACAGCTTACGAAGCAGCAAAATAAGATGTAGCAGACGTGCAGAGCTCTCTCTTAGCTGTTCAGAAGAACGCAGGAGAGATAATGTGGGAAGGAAAGGGGTGAAAGGACTCTTGCTGGTGGGCCATAAGAAGGTGCCACGTGGGTTTGCATTAAGAACTGAATAAAGAAGGGACACAGCTCATAGTCCTGGGAACCTCGGAAGGCCTGCCAGCCGAGCACAGATTACTGGGAAGAACTGGGAACTAGCCAAGCCATGGACTTCTATTTTTTTCCTTCTTGAGATATGGTACCCCCAACTGGCCTGACTGGGCAAAGGGTGGGAAGGAAGAACTCTGTGTGTTTGTGGATGTTCTAAGGAACTTTGGGACTTTAACGAATACATTAAGTCATTACTCAAAACCTGTATAACTTTTAAATAAATAGTTCCTTTTCTTTTCACCGAACTCTGGCATTGAGAGCATTAATTCCTGAGGACAGTGGGTAAGATGAACCTAGTACAGAGAGACCCTGGGAGGAGGGCGATCCATTCAGTAACAGTATCTTGTCCCCTGTCACAGGTCCATTCTGTAACAGGGGCAATACTGAAATCAGCTATTTTATCTGTGAAGGTAGGAAAAAATGTTAAAATTAATTCCTTACTTGCTGAGTTTGCCTGAATTCTTCCAGTAGTTTTAGTGCCATATCATAATCCTTCAACAAATGGTACGCAACAGCATATCCAATCCAGGAAGCACGCTGTGTTGGGCGCAACTGAAGAAGCTGATACCTTGTTTCCTTAAAAAAATAATAATAAAAAATAAAATAATTGTCTTTTTTACTTTTTCACTTTCTTTAAAATATTTATTAAAGCAATACCTTTAATTCCTTTCTAATAAACTCAATTAAAAAATATAAGTTCCACAATAAAATATACTTTTTGAGCTTCTTATCTAAATTACTTAAGTTGTATAATACCCCATCATGCTCATTGTAAAGCTGTCACAAAAACAGTTGTCCTTGGTGCCCATGTTTTGGGGCTGACTTATAAAATCAGCTTTACATAAAGAATTTCTTTTGGTAATTACACATCTTAGAAGACAGACTAAGATAGTTTTTTATTGAACTAAATTTTGCTATTTATAAAATTATTATATGAAACTACAAAGGACTTGCACTGTTACAGTAGACCCCAGAGACAGGATGGACACAGTCAAGGGGAAATGCCAGACATCTGACAGGACTCTGCAAGCAGAAACACCACTGCTGCCACTTTCAGATAGGTCAGTATCCATGACATTATGAACACCAGAAGTTCCACAATGCTGCCCTAGAATAATCAAGATATCTTCACTAGCAGAAAATTCAACCTGCCTATACAGGCCTCACTTCTTTGTTGCTCATACCCGCCTCCAAGTTTTAGGCACATGCAACTGCTTGGAGGAACAGGATCTCATGAAGAACACCAATAGCAATGGAGTTTTGAAAACGTAGTGTTTAGCTTCCATGACTCTGTTGTTGGAATGGGTACCATCCATAGTATATGCCAAAAGGAGAAACATGATCAGATTTTTTTTTAAAAAGGTATCTTTGACAAAAAACTGGGTACCACTCCTCTACCTTCATGTGTGTCTAGTTCCTTTTAGGCACATTAATTTCATATGCCTAATAGCTCTAAGGAATGAGAGTTATTATCACTCTCACTCCTTATTTTGACTATTGCTCCTGTCACTCCAATCCTTTATTAAAGTCTGAATCAGTTTTCCTCACTCTGCCAAATCCTACCATCATCCTAACCAAAGAAACATTACCGATTACCCATCCAACAACCTATCTTCTTAGATCCAAGAGTTCCTCATCTTTAATGAGCTCCTCCACTGCTTTTCAGAAACCCACTCCCACAACCACAGCCTAGACCAGCAATTTTCAACTAGTGTGCCACAAGAATTTTTAAAACATGCAATACCTGACTATTTAGTCAAGTGTACCAATCTCTTTTCCTTTATACTGTCAAATAAAAAAAAATGACAACAGCCAAAACAAAAATAGCTATCCAGTATGAATGAATAAAACTTACACCTATTTTTATCAGATCAGAAAAAAATACATTTTTTGGTGTGCCACAAAATGTTAGTAATTAGTTTCTGTGTGCCATGAGATGAAAAATGCTGAAAATCGTTGCCTTAGGTTGTCAAATAAAAAAGTGACAACAACCAACACAACAATAGCTGAACACTCTGTCTTGAACCATAAATATATAGGTAATAAAATAGAGTTGCATAATCAAGTTGCATCTGACTGGTAATTCTTGGTACCAGAAATTGCCATATATAAGTACAGGCACCTGCCTCTTTAAAAAGTCACTTGGGAGCAAAAAGGGTAGATAATTATCATTTTTTTTGGTGTAGCAATCAAAATTATACCTTTTTGTCAGATCATCAAAAAGTATATGAGTGAGCCACAGAATTTTAGTAATTTATTTACATGTGCCATGAGATGAAAAGGGTAGAAAATCACTATCCTAGGCCTTATTTGCCCAGAAATCATGAATTCAAATATCTCACTCTGGCCATAGTGCCTATGCTGTCAATATTTTTCTCACTTAGTGACATTCCTACCTTTGTTCTGAAGAGGACACCACCGTAACTCTAGTTCCTTGGGTCTTTCACTTATAACTGCTGGTTCTTTTATCTTAATTTATTTCACCCTCCTTCTTAGGAACCACTCTCTTGCCAGTATTCTTAATTTCTTTGCCTCATAGAGAAATATAACTAATTTTAACTCTTGCCATACCCAAGTTGCTAAATACTGCTAATGAAAAACTCCACAATGGTGAAGAATATTTATTATTATTAAGCTCAGCAAGACTCTAGAAACTTCTGTAAAAATCTAGGCATAAGGTATAAAGACCTGTATGGCAGTAGAGGGCAAAAGTAAAAATTAAATGAAAGGAGATTAAGGAGAACTGTTAAGAGTTGAGTTGGTTGATGGCCTCCTTCATATAAGAAAGTAAAAGAACTCCATTTTGAACAGAATGAATTTAGGATACACAGAGATGCCCTGCAGAGTTCAAGATGCCAGTTTGAGGAGATCTGGACTATAGATAGACTGATGTATGGCAATCCTCACATTATTTTATATTTACTAACCCATAATTTTAAAAAAGCTAATTAATCTTTACTTTTAGATTTCAAATATAAAAGTTGTTTACCAAATTTGGTCACGTTTAGTCAAACCCACAAAGACTCTGGCACAGCATTTGCACACAGGAGATAGCCTAATGTTGTAAAAAGCATTAAATAAATAAAGTTATCCTTTTCTGATGATCAAGTATATGCAGTTCTATAACTGTAATTGGAAGAAGGTGCCAAGTGACTTTTCCCTTCTACAGACTATCATGAACAATCAAATCTTCACGAACACATGCTTTTAAATTATATCTATTGTAAAAATGTGTACACTTAACAACTAAAGTACTTACTCGGTAACCTTCAAGGTCTCTCATTTGGATCTGCAACAGAGAGAGATCCCTCAAAATTTGCAGATTATCTTTATCTAATTTGAGAGCATTTCGGTAACACTTAATAGCTTCATCATATTTCTTATCAGAACGCTGCAAGAGTCCATACACATGCCAACCTATTAAGTTAAAGAAATGCAAACATTCACAGGTACTAGAAAATACTATGCTGCATATCCATCTAATATAAAGCTTTAATAAAATAGTATGTTGTCTGAAATTTACCTCAGGATGATCTAGGATCAGAGGGAGGGGGACAGTAAGCAAGTGGTAAAAGATAAAATGAGATCAGCCTTGATTGACAACTATTAAAATTATTGAAGCTGGGTGCTTCAATAATTTTGAGGCACATGAGGGTTCATTATTCTATTTGTGTATATGTTTGAAATTTTCCATAATATTTTTAAAGTAACCTTGGAAAATTCTTGGTAAAATTCTTCACATTCCCTACCTTCTACCCCTCACTCTTCTACCCAAGTACCTCAGTGTTCACTCCCTACGTACTGAAACCAAATATATACAAAAACTGTAATTTTAAAAAAGATTTTATTCATTTATTTAGAAAAAAGGCAATGGAGAGAGAAAGAGAGAGAAACACCAATGTGCAAAAGATACATCGATCAGTCGTCTCTTGCAAGCCCCCAACTGGGGGCTTGGACCACAACCCAGGTATGTGCCCTTGATTGGGAATCTGACAGGAAACCTTTTGGTTCTCAGGCCAGCACTCAATTCACTGAGCCGCACCAGCCAAGATGAAATTATCTTTTAAAACAAGTTTATAGTCAGTCAATTCTAAAACACTAGTCATTAGTTAATTCACTAGTAATATTAAAAACCAACAAGATTAAGTTTTTATTTACTGTAATGAAATTCTTAGCATTTCTTGGAGCCAAAAAACCTGTCACACTTATATGCACTCTCTCTTTACTCAGGAGTAAGCACTGGGATAAAGAAATAAGTATTTACTATTTTGAGAGAACTCTAAGCTAAATATGTGAGAACACTACTAAGACTACTGATATTCAATACTGGCCCGCAAATAGATAAATTAAGTGTAAAAAATTAAGAAACAGGACAATACATGAAAAACTTATGAATAAACATATAGATACGCAAAACAGAAATGAAAATCATTTTAAAAAGCATTTTTGTTTTCTTACAAGCTGGGATACTAGACATAGGAAAATATAATTATGACTATTGGTGAAAATAGCCATGTCCCTGGGCAACTGAAACAAGCTGCAGAACCAATACAATATCATACTTAACACTAAATAAAATGTTTTAAAACAAATTTCTTCTAAATTTTCTTCTTAAATTTCTAAACAAAAGTTTAAAAAATATACATTTTACTATACAAGTTTACTATACAGGTTAAGTTATTTAAAATGATGGGAAAGTATCACTCACTTTATGGAAGTATAGGAAAAACAATGGGTTTCAAGTCACATATAATTACCAAAGTGAGTCTTCTCACCCTGGCCAAGTGGTGCAGTTGGTTGGAGCAACGTCTTGTACACCAGAAAGGTTGCTGGTTCAATCCGTGGTCAGGGCACATACCTTGGTTACAGGTTTAACCCCCCCAGTGGGGGAGTGTCTAGGAGACAATCAGCTGAGAGAGTGAGACCGCTCTCACTCTCTCCCGCTGATGTTCCTTTCTCTTTCTCTCTCACTCTCTCCCTCCCCCTTATTCCCCCACCAATCAATGAAAACGTGTCTTCAAGTGAAGATTACTTTTCTCTCACACTAAGCACAACTGAAGTAAATACCATATATACTGTATAAAGATTCTCTTTAAAATATTCCAATAAATAGAAAATGAGGCATAGGGCACAGATTAAACCAATACTACAAAATGTTAATAATTACTGAAAGTGAGTAATCAATACACAGAGTTCATTAAATTCTCATCTCTCATAATAAAGTTTTTAAAATTTGGATTAGAAAAAACTAGTAAATGAAAAATACACATATGAAATTAAAGTACTCAACCACTGCAAAAGGATACAGACATGACTCTTGACATCGTTACGAAGTCCTTTACGAACAAATTCATATGCTTCTTCTTTTTTTCCTAAACAGTTCAATGTTAAGCCTTTCATAGCCAAAGTCTCTGAAAAATATTTTAACTTCTATTTACACATGAACGTTTCAAATTATCTTAACAGTACTTTAACCTTTGAGATCTGCCATGCTTATAATATTAACCTTTTTAATCCCATAGTTAAAACTTCTTTCCAAAAACTACATTTTAATATTTGCTTAAAGTTTAGCCCAAGTCCTCTCCTGAAATTCCTCAGTGTGAGACTAAGTTGCTCTAGTGCTTATTGCTCTATAGAAGACTCTTTTTAAAGGAGGCTGAGGTTATTCTGCTGAGAAAAGGCAACAGGGCAGGCACCTGAACCCTGCTAAGTTAAATCTACTCCATCAGTCCACACCTTTCACCTGAGATCAACACCAATCAAGATTCCAATCTGATTTACATCCCACAAAACAATCTACCTTAACAAAGAGACATACACAATTTAAAAATAACTACTCAACATTGGAACAGACTGCATTTTTGGCAAGTGTATTCCAACCAATCCTAATTAGGCTAATTAACATTATTTTGCATTTCAAGGATACAACAACACTCAGACTACAGGAATGACAACCCCCAAAAATGTTTAAGGTAGTTAATGAAAGATGGTTTAGAATGAAATAACTGTGAATGATCCACAAGAAATAATCAACAAGGGGATTAGACATGAACAATTATTTTCAAATTGATCTCTGTGGATTCTGGTTTCCAGAACATGGTGATACAGCAATCCAAACCCCTATAACCAAACATTTCTTTTATCTGTTGATACATAAAGAGCTTCCCCACGATTCCATTTAAATAGTGGTTCCCAAGTGAAAAAGCTTGAAAACAAGCTTTAAATTTCTAAAATTTATGAAATGAAGAGCTCTTTCCATTTACTTTAAAGAATGTTGTTACAAAGCTGAGCCAGGTCAGCCTATTTTCCCAATAAGGTAGTCTCAAGAATTACCCAAGCCTAATATTCAGAGATCCCAGTTAGCTATGCTTCGCTATAGGATTATAATTTGCGTATCTAACCTGATCCATCCTTTTAATAGTGGTCACCAGTGAAAAAGAATGAGACAAGCAAACATAGACTTATTAATACCAGACTAAAAAAACTTCTCAAGATAAACAATCTAATAATAAATCAATAGTGTCATATTTATATATATAAGGTCAGCAAATATAAAAAAGATGTCTACCAAAAGACAAAATACATTTGACTATATCTTTATACTACTTCTATATTGCAAATATTGTCCTAATTTCATACATAGGAAATCAAAGAATAAACTTCTAGTCAAAGTAATAGATGAAATCAAGTCTATGAAAATACTAGTATATATTCCAGCTGATCTTCAACTGACCAACCAAACACTTCCCATCTAATAGTAAATCAGACTATACATATATAAACATAATAGAAGTAACCTAGAATAAAACTGATATGAGACATAACTAAGAATGTTAAATATTTATATACTCTAGTAGAGAGCTACAAGGCCATGGAATCTGGGAAGTATTCTTCTTTCACTGTTACAAGTCCTATATGTCTGATTTTAGAATTAGACTTCCCCAAAGCAGTATCTCACAGGTAAGACAATACCTCCATGTTCAGCAAATTTTGGATTTGAAAGAATCATCTTGCAAAACTTGAGGCCATTTTTGTATTGCTTCTGTTCATAACATTTCTGTAAAGAAATATGAACAAAAATTATTTATAAAATTAAGATACATGGAGCAACTTTTCATTGCCATAATTTAACTTCAAGATCCAAAATGAGGTCTAGAAACACGTGATGGAAAAGTCTTATGTCAATTCATATCACTTATAACAAGAAATGTACTTCTCTTTTCTAATCTTTGCCAAATCTAGTGTGTATTTTTCCTTTTACAGAAGATAAAGGAAAAAAGACGCTTAAAAAAAGAAAATTTTTTTAATTTATTTTTTATTGATTATGCCATTACAGTTGTTCTATTCCCCCCTTCATTCCCCTCCACCCTACCCCCCATCCCCACCATTACCCCCCCTTTAGTTTATGACCGTGTGTCTCAAGTTCTTTAGATTCTATATTTCCCATACTATTCTTGCCCCCCCATCTATTTTCTATCTACTGTCTATGCTACTTATTTTCTGTACCTTCTCACCCCTTCTCCTCCTCCCACTCCCCTGTTGCTAACCCTCCTTGAGATCTTCATTTCTATGGTTCCACTCCTGATCTAGCTGTCCTTTTAGTTTGCTTTTGTTTTAGGTGTGGTTGTTAATAACTGTGAGTTTGTTGTCCTTTCACTGTTCATGTTTCTTTAACTTATTTTTCTTAGATAAGTCCCTTTAACATTTCATATAATAAGGGCTTGGTGATGATGAACTCCTTGAATTTGATCTTATCTGAGAAGCACTTTACCCTCCATTCTAAATGAAAGCTTTGCTGAATAGAGCAATCTTGGTTGTAGGTCTTTGGATTTCATGACTTAAAATACCTCTTTCCAGGCCCTTATTGCCTATAAGGTCTCTTTTGAGAAATCTGCTGACAGTCTGATGGGAACTCCTTTGTAAGTGACTGTCCCCTTAGCTCTTGCTGCTTCTAGGATTCTCTCCTTCATTTTCATCTTGGCTAATGTAATTATGATGTGCCTTGGTGTGTTCCTTCTTGGGTCCAACTTCTCTGGGACTCTCTGAGCTTCCTGGACTTCCTGGAAATCTATTGCCTGATTGGGGAAGTTCTCCTTTATTATTTGTTCCAATAAGGTTTCCTCTCATGGCTGTTCCTCTTCCCCTTCTGGTACCCCTATAATTCAGATGTTGAAACGTTTAAAGATGTCCTGGAGGTTCCTAAGCCTCTCCTCATTTTTTTGAATTCTTGTTTCTTCATATTTTCCTGTTTGGCCATTTTTTTCTTCCCTCTGGTTCACTCCCTTGATTTGAGTCCCAGTTTCCTTTCCATCACTATTGGTTTCCTGTGCATTTCCCTTCATTTCACTTAGTTTAGCCTTCATTTGTTTCTCTAATTAGTGACTAAAATCAACCAGTTCTGTGAGCATCCTGATCACCAGTGTTTTGAACTGTGCATCTGACAGGTTGGCTATTTCTTATTCGCTTAGAATTATTGCCTCTGGGGCTTTGAGTTCTTCTTGAGCCACGTTTTGGTCTATTGGAGCCTGTTACATACGAGGAGCTGAGCCCTAGGTAATCACCAGGGCGGGGCAACTGAGTCACACAGTTGTGACGCTGTATGTAGGGGCAGGGTCAAAGAGGGGCAATAGAGGTCCCCTCTGCTGCTTCCGTCTGCTGCTTCCCACCACTGGGACCTGCGCAGTCTGTCTCGCTGCTCGCTCCTCGCTCCTTCGAGGTTTATCTGCTCCCAAATGTGTGCCCGAGAACAGCCTGCCACCTTGCGCCCTCACTGGGTCCACCCACTGCTACCCCACACCTGGGATCTGCCAATGGCTGCCCATGTTCCTGGGTCGGTCCAGGGGATCTTTCCTGCCCAATCCCACTCGCTGCTGGCTCCGCCCCTCTTACTGGTCTGGCTGAAAGGTTTGTTGTTGTCGGACTTCCATATTGTTCAATTTTCTGTGTTTTGGCTACGTTTTTGTTACTAAAACTTTGTTGTCTTTAAACTCGGTTGTGTGAGGAGGCACAATGTTTCCACCTACGCCTCCATCTTGGCCGGAACTAGAAACAGGGAATTTAACTGTCAATCAATGCTGCTACAGCTCTTTAAAATTCAAAGTCCAAAAGCAAAAGCATATATGATAACAACAAAGAAAAATACTAGAAACTGCATTAAAAGCCTTTGCTACTTCAAGAATGGAACAAAAAAATACACAAAATACTGTCTCTACAGAACTTGTTATGACTCATATTAATCCCTTATAGTACCTGTCATTACTGCCACCATACAGATGTGGAAGATGTTCATAAAATGTGTGAGTGACTCAGCTTAGCTGCAAACTCTGGTGTTACTCCAAAGATCATGGTCTTTCCATTGCTTGTCTAAGACAACTCGAAGCAACCTCTTTATTCCTAAATTCCACCAGACAGGCTAAGCAATCAGTGACTGTCCTCTACAACCAGTGATTATGAGAACATCTCATCTCCTTTCACTTGCATGCTCGCTTATGTTGTTATGGTTGGTTTTCTCCAGTTTTAAAGCAGTCGCTATTTATTAATGGACCAGATAACAAAAATAACCAGGGTAGACACCTTAGTTCATCCTTCTAATAAGCCTGTTGATCTAGTCTTCCCTGTTACCAACACATCTACCTTCTACAAAATGGGTGGTCTGTTTCTTCATTCCATCTCATGGAAGAGACAATTTGAAGGGCCAGAGGAAGTGGTTTGCCTCTTTGAAGCATTTTCCAACAGTATGTATCTCATGAATCTGATCCTCCATGCAGGTGATGACATATTTACCAAGAGATCTAGCAATCAACTATGTTATCTTTCAGGGCAATTTGGTTCTTGCTGATTTGTTGTTATGGTTATTCTTTCTATTACTTACATGCCCAGCTTATTACCACCTTAGGGCCTCTGCACTTGTGTTCCTTTTACCTGAAATATTCTCCCTCAGATTTTCCTGGAGCTAGTTCCTTATGATCTCAGTGTCACAGATCACCTACCTGACCACTCTATCTAATATCAACAGCCTCCTACCGGCCCCCAACAAACACATTCTCTATCATATTACTTTATTTTCTACACAGCACTATCAACTCCTGAAATTTCTATTTAGGTGATTACTTATTTAGTATCTTATTATTACCATATTGCAAGCTTCTTGAGAACAGGGATCTTGACTATTTTAAACACCCCTGCCATTCACAAGTTCTAGATAAATAAGCACTGCTCAATAAAACAGCCTACTAAATTCAAAGAAAAACAATACTAGCAAAGGAGGAAGAAGTGCTTAATCTTTGCAGCAGGAGTGGAATGTGGAGAAGAGAACTAGAAAAGTATTAATAGAAAAAAATGTTTATATTAAGACTTCTTGAGTGCCTCTGGGAAGGAAACTTAGTGATTGGGAGAAAAGAATAGAACAAAAACCTGAATTTTGAACCACACAAATATATTACTATTCCAAAGATATTTTAAAGTAAAAATTAAAACATATCTGAGTTTGACTATAGGAATTCACCTGACAAATGACAAGAACAAAAAAGAAGCAGAAGGAACTATGAGGGAGATGAAAAGAAATGAGTTTTTTCCCCAGAAAAGTGGCCTTGAAAGTAATAATCATCACACTACCAGTAACAGAAAAAAATAACAGTTAACATTTATTGGAACCATTTACTATGTGCCAGGTGCGGTTCTGATTTCATCTGTATTTAAATCCCAGGAAAGCCTATGAGATGCATGTTATCTTCATTTTAGATGGAGCAGCTGAGGCAGTTATTGAGTTTTCATGGCTAGTGTCAAAGCCACAATTCAAACCGAGGTAGTCTATCTCCAGTACTCAAGTTAAAGAAAAGTCTTAAGTTCAGTAAGGAATACATACTTGGCACAAAAGACAAATTCTAGTTTTCGACTTTGTTACTAACCAGAGAACCTTACCCACTTAGTCATTTACCATTCCTGGATTTGATTTTCTCAACTGCAAAAGAGAATATGAAGTAGAGCTCGAATATTCAACAAAATGTAATCCCACTGCCAGTTTGGGTAATAAGATAGGAAGGCATAAGCCACACAGATCCTGTAATAAGCTAGCTGGTAAATTTGTATGGCTGTGTTTATATACACTGATAATTAATAAAAATGTACTGTTGTTGACAAAACACTTTGGTCTATCAACCAAACTTAACAATAATTTTATTATAGAGACTTCAATTTGCCATGGAATTTGTTGTAGCAAAATTTACCCACATTTATTGCAATTGTCACATGATGAAAGCATTCACTTTTGCAGTACCCTCCTAAAGTCAAGTAACCTTGTAATAAACATTACATACCCAGATAATAAAATGTTTCGCATTTCCCAATTTATTTGAAGATAAAGTTAACTCAGCATCAGCTTTAACTTTCCTGTAACTAAAGAATAAATCATGAAATTGTTGTTATTCTACTGATAACATGATTTGAACTACAAGTATCCACATATAGAGAAAGTGTTGTCATCTTTTAGGTATGTCAAATGTCCTGAAATCTAACAAATTATAGATGATTTTTCATTAACATATTTCAGATTCCCTAAAAATAAAAAATAAAAATAAATCCACCTGAAAAGGGAACTTCTCTAATTCCATACTGTCAAAAACATAAATGTGTGAAGAAAAAAATTAATTTTTTAGAAAAAAGTATACTACAAAGCCAAGCAAACAATCTGCCACAATGCATTAATTACAATTTTTTGCTTTTACGCTTGCCTCATTTATTTGCTCAACACTAAGCACTATTTAAAATTAAGACAAAGTTTTTATCCGATCTATCATGTAATGCATCGTTTTTTAATACTCTTGAGTACTAAGTGTGAAGTTTCTATTGACTAGAACAGAACAGCTCCTATGAATTTTTATCTGCCGTTGCTAATACTTATAATAATGTTCTATATTCGGTGATTTTAGTAAAGGTAAGCAACAGCTAAGTTACATAACACAATCTCTCAATAATAAATTCACCCTTAAAATCTAAACACTTATGTTCAGATGAAAAGACAAACTAGGAAAAAACAGGTATTTACGATATTAGTTTAAAAGCCACGGTCCCCAGTGTATTATAATATATTGAGAAAAACAAAAGCATGCTGCCTCTCCTCTCGGGAAGAACGGGAACCCCCGGAAAACCTTGAAGGCACTCGGGACGCTGGCCCTCAACCTACAGAAAACAGTGTGTTCTGTAGAGCAGGGCCACTATTCAGGTCACTGCTCGCAGAGTAAACGGGTCCCTCAAGTGCAACAGCACCAGCCAGTTCGTAAAGCAGTTAACCACGTTCTCAAGGCACGGACTGTGTGAGTTAAAAGCAATCAGAATCATGTTCGCCTTCATAATTTAGAAATGCAGTTCAAGTCACCTTTTCACTTCCTAAAGAAAACAGGTAAATAAGAACAGGCTAAGTCTCACCCAACAAAAAGCTTGGCCTCCCAGCGCTCCCTATTTTTGCCCTGGCCAGGATATATCCGAGCCCTGCTCGGATATATACAGGATCACTCCAGCTTTAAGGGGTATCGGGGCGTGCAGTTCAACAGATGAAACACAAATCAGGGAATGTACACCACGCCGAAGAGAGCCTGGCAAAATACACCAACTGCGGAGGACAGGAGGAGGTTGCGGGCCCGGCCGCAAGGCTCCGCAGAGGGCACGGGTACCGCCGGACGCGCCCTTGCCGGGAGTGACAGCGGAGGGCGACGTGAAGTTTCTGGAAGGAGCGCAGGGGCACCTGGGCGAGCAGCCGCGCCTAGGCGAGCCGCGGCGGAGGGAGGAGGAGCGCAGAGGAGACGCGGGCTGTCAGGCGGGGCCGGCAGAGGCGGGTAGTCCGATCTCGCGGGCTCCAACGCAAACAAAGAACAGAACTGGGGGTCCCCCCGGCCCGCGCAGACGCCGCCGCTTGACCAGTCGCGCGTGGAGACCCAGGCTCCCGAGGGGCGAAAGCGCGGCCTCCCGCCACTTACCAAGATGCGTTTGAAGAGGTTGCTCTCCTTCGGCGGCAGCTGCACGTTCGGCATTGCGGCGAGGACTGGGAGGCTGGGTGACTGGGCGCTCCGTTCTGCGGGGTGGGCACCGGGAGGAACTGCTGCCGAAAGTCGGTGCGTGCGATGGGTCAGTTCATTGGCCTGGAGTTTGGGGTGGGCAGATTCTGCTGGGCAGATTTGGCTGGACTTCTGCGCAGCGCTGGGAATGGAAAGAGGAACGCGGACTGAGCAAGGGACCCACAGCTCCTGCCCTGGTTTGGGTTAAGTAGCGGCTGCTCCGCTGCGCTGCAAGATGGCACCCAGGGCCCGCCCCCGCTCGAGCAGGGCGACGTGCGCTTGCGCGAGGCGCTGAGCTGCCCGGGCCTGCGGGGAGCTGGTGAGGTAGGGAGGACGGTGGTGGGAGCAAGGAGTTGTCAGATCGCTCTTGTCTTCAGAACCTTGACGCCAAGAAGGGTTCATGCACCTAGCCCCTCATAAATCTACTCTATTGTGCTCTCATTGTTAGTGTCATGGCCCAAGACAGTGTTACTTACATCGGAGTTAGACTTTGGATTTCTCTCCACTCGAATTTAAAACAGTGCTCCAACTCAAAGTAAATGTTTGATGTAGGATGAAGTTGTGGAGACCAATGAGGTTATTCACCATGTATGTGAGGTCGTTGGGCAGACTTTGACATGAGCTGATGTAAAAGGACGTTTGAAATATCTCAGTAGCCCTGGCTGATGTAGTTCAGTGGATTAAACTTGGGCCTGTGAAGCAAAGGATCGTAGTTCGATTCCCAGGCAGGGCACGTGCCTGGGTTGCAGGCCAGTTCCCAGTGGGCGACACATGGGAGGCAACCACACATTAATGTCTCTCTCTCTCTCTTTCTCCTTCCCTAACCCTCTTTCTGAAAATAAATAAATAAAATATTTTAAAAAAGGATAATATACTATTTCAGCAAGTAAACATGTCATTATTTTAAAGAAAGAAAGAAATGTCTTAGTAAAAGAGTATTCCCAGCAGTTTAGAACACCTAACACTGTCAGTGAGAATTGTGGTGGTTTTATGGGGCCACTGATTCCCCAAGTCTACCTACCCTGTCTCATCAGATGGTTCATCTTTACACAACACATATAATAAGGAAACAAGATTCAAACCCAGGATCTTCCAACTCTGGGACACTTTCTATCATACATAGAAGGTAGAATATATCAAAACAAAAACAAAGCAGGAAAAGGTAAAATAGTAACATAACATATGTGAGTCCAGAAAGATATGGATATGTGTAGTTGACAATAATAGTCATACTGTTAGAGAACACAGGGCCAAGGGGGCTACGATATACAATTACCCAGAGGAACCCCCCCACTAGGTTCGCATTGTCTGCCGCCAGAGGAAAGATGTCTCTCAATGCCAGGGATTTGTGAAAAGGAAAGGAAATGTTTATTTAAAGATATACAGACTTAAAGTAGTGACCTAATGTCTTCATTAAAATATTAAAGTCGTTTAGGATACCCACAGAAGCACACAGTCCTTCCTGCTCCCTCTGCCCTAAACTGGGGTACTGTATCTCAGGAAAAGAAGTAGATTCAGGCTCCTGACACCATCAGCTGTGTCGTCAACAAGGATCAACCTGCGTGGTTTTCCTTGGCAAAGCTGCAAGATTATCTCCACTCTGCCAAGACCGCATGGTTCTCCCCTTAATGGCTGCCGCGTTTTGGTTTAAATCCTCATGCCAATCCTCCTCTGCAGCCCCTTTTCTGACCCCCCCCCCACAATCGGCTACACTTGCTAGCACTCCCATATCCTTCCAGCTTTACTGGGCTGCCATAGTGGGTCTGGGCAGGCGTGGCCCCATGGCATGGAGCCAATCATCTCCAGGCTCTCTCTCATGCAGGCACTCTAACCAGGGGGAGTTGCCTCCCAGTTACATCTTGGGTGGGAGTCACTTCCATCCCCCTGGCTCAAAGCATAGCCACAGCTATTTAACACATCTATGCAACCAGTTAAAGGTTATAGATATGTTCAATGACCATGCCAGAGGTTACCTGCAAAGCTGTTGCTATGCAAAACAGCTTTCCATGTTCCTGCTCCATGTATCCCTTACCCCAACTCACACCTGTTGGGGAGGAGGGGTGAGGACATCCTATATATCTGTAATATTTCCTGGACACCTTGAGTTCTGGTCCCTATTTCAAATCCCTATTTGGGGCCCCCCTCTTGGCTGCACCCTGTTACAATACATACAATGTAGGTTTAATTTTAAGGAATATGTAGCTCTGACCAGTGTGTCTCAGTTGGTTAGGCATTGTCTCACAAAGCAAAAGGTTGCTGGTTCAATTTTGGCTAGGATACATTGCCTGGGTTGCAGGTTTCATTTCTGATTGGGAGTGTGTGAGAGACAACAGATTGATGTTTCTCTTTCATGTAAATGTTTCTCTCCCATGTGAATGTTTCTCTCCCTCTCTTTACTTCTCCCTCCCCCTCTCTGTAAAAATGTTTTATAAAGGAATATGTAAATATTAGGTACAGAAACTTATTTGTACATGTTCTGGATATTGTACATGGTTGTGAGACTACAGCATAATTGATGGATAATTGCATTAAATGGTCTGTAATTAGAGCCAGGTTTCAGCTTATTTAATTTTTTCTCCTCTAGCCTTATTTGAGATGGTAGAGGTAAGAGTTCTAGGAACCCATCTCCATCAGTGTACTAGCTGTCATTCTTGTGAGAGGCTGGGTTTGGCTGCAGTGAAGTTTTTCTGAAGACCCTTTTAGTACATTTGCCCATTTCATGATGGCTGATTTACAAGTGCACCTGCCCACACTGCACTGAGTGTTAAGCAATTTTTGACCAAAAACAGGCATGACTTCCATGCTCCACCCTCCCTATTCACCTGATCTCTGCCTGAGAGATCATTATGTTTGTGTGTGTGTGTGTCTGTGTGTGTGTGTGTTTTTCCCTGATGAAAAAAGTCCTCAAAGGGAAATAGTCTGCCAATATGGAAGGGGTGAAACAAAAAAATGGTAAAAGCACTAAAAGACATCAAGATCAACAAGTTCAAAAACTGTTTTGAGCAGTGGAAAAAACGTCTTCATGAGTGTAGTGCATCCAATGGAGCATACTTTGAAGGTGACTAAAGTTTAAACATGTAAGAATAAATACACAATTTTTTATAAATAAATTCTGGGTTTTGGGGGGACACCCCTTATATATATATACACACATACACACAGTATAGATTACATTGTATTCCTCAATTTAGAACACAGTATGTAAGTTGGAAAACACTTTATAAAGAAAAAAATTTTTTAAACTTTAATGCTCATAATGGTTATTTGAAAACTACTTACGAAGGACATTTGAAGGAGAAAAACATAGGAAATAAAATTATTGAAATAAAGGTTTGAAAATGTACAATTTAAAACCAAAGTAAATGATTTTGGACTTCCAGCCAAGATGGAGGCTTTGGTAGACATACTGTGCCTCCTCACACAACCAAAAGGACAACAATTTAAAAACAAAAAGCAACCAGAACTGACAGAAAATTGGACTGTATGGAAGTCCGACAACCAAGGAGTTAAAGAAGACACATTCATCCAAACTGGTGGGGGACCAGAGACAGGCAGCCAGGCAGAAAGGACACACAACAAGGTGGTGGCTAGAGGACGGGAATGGGCAAGGCGGCGGCTGCCAGCGAGGCAGCAGATTGTGGAGTGGGGCAGGCAAGGCTGCAACTGGCCAGCAAGGCAAGAGCTGGTGGACCTGGTGAGGCAGCAACTGGTGGAGCAGGTGGTCCCACATTGGTGTACAGATAAATCGGAAGAATAACTGAGGAGCTAAACATACCACACAACCCAGGGTTCCAGTGGGGAAATAAAGCCTCAAACCTCTGATTGAAAACCCCTGTAGGGGTTGAGACACTCCCAGCCTCACAGGAGAGTTCATTGGAGAGACCCACAGTGACCTAGAACATTCACAAACCCACCCACCTGGGAATCAGGACCAGAAGGGCCCTTTTTGATTGTGGGTAGCAGGGGAAGTGACCAACAGAGAGCAGAGCAAGTGCCATTCTTCCCTTTGGAACCCCTTCCAGACATACAGCATCACAACACAATGACGTGGGTTACTCCACCCTGGGGAACACCTAAGGGGCTCTGCCCCTTACTATGTAACAGGTGTGTCCAGACAAAAAGAAATGGCCCAAATGAAAGAACAGATCAAAGCTCCAGAAAAAACACAACTAAGCGATGGAGAGATAGCCAACCTATCAGATGCACAGTTCAAAACACTAGTAATCAGGATGCTCACAGAATTGGTTGAATTTGGTCACAAATTAGATGAAAAAATGAAGGCTGTGCTGTTAAATAAAGGAAAATGTACAGGGAATCAATAGTGATGGGAAGGAAACTGAGACTCAAATCAATGGAGTGGATCAGAAGAAAGAAAGAAACATCCAACCAGAAAACAATGAAGAAACAAGAATTCAAAAAAATGAGGAGAGGCTTAGGAACCTTAAATGTTCCAACATCCAAATTATAGGGGTATCAGAAGGAGAAGAGGAAGAGCAACAAGTGGAAAACTTATTTGAACAAATAATAAAGGAGAACTTCCCCAATCTGGCAGAGGAAATAGATTTCCAGGAAGCACAGAGAGTCTCAAAGAAGTTGGACCCAAGGAGGAACACACCAAGGCACATCATAATTACATTACCCAAGATTAAAATAAGGAGAGAATCTTAAAAGCAGCAAGAGAAAAGGAGACAGTTACCTACAAAGGAGTTCCCATAAGACTAACAGCTAATTTCTCAAAGAGACCTTGCAGGCAAGAAGGGGTTAGAAAGAAGTATTCCAAGTCATGAAAGGCAAGGACCTACATCCAAGATTGCTCTATCCAGCAAAGCTTTGATTTAGAATGAAAGGGCAGATAAAGTGCTTCCCAGATAAGGTCAAGTTCAGGGAGTTCATCATCACCAAGCCCTTATTATATGAAATGTTAAAGGGATTTATTGAAGAAAAAGAAGATTAAAAATATGAACAGTAAAATGACAACAAACTCACAGTTATTAACAACCACATCTAAAACAAAAGCAAACTAAGCAAACAACTAGAACAGGAACAGAACCACAGAAATGGAGATCACATGGAGGAATAGCAACAGGGGAGTGGAAGGAGGAGAAATGGGGAAAAGGTACAGAGGATAAGTAGCATAAATGGTAGGTAGAAAATAGGGGGAGGGTAAGAATAGTATGGGAAATGTAGAAGTCAAAAAACTTACATGTATGACCCATGAACATGAACTAAAGGGGCAGAATGTGGGTTG